CTGTAATAATTCTTTAATATATTACTTGTGTGGTGTAGAAGATAATTATCTATGTAGAGATACTGCTTGCAAACCAATGATGGTAAGATGATGTCAGGGGGTAGGACTGGATAAGTCTGACTTCTTCCTACTCCATTCAAGCATGTACCAGGTATAAGCTAATTGATACTGGATTAGCATTTGTTGGATATGTGTAAAATTATGTGTGTTGACATATCAACTGTCTTTACATGCTTGAAAGAATAAATCAAATCAAATCAAATCAAATCAAATCACCTCGCCCTTCAGCTCTTGGACAATCTCCACACTTAGAAGTGTATCTCTTGGCAGCTCCATCTTGAAATTCTCCAGTTTCTTCCAACGCACAGGTGTTTTTGCATCCCATGTGTAGATCTGAGATTTCTATGTAATGGAAAATGGAGAGGAGACAAGCAGATGAGAGCAGGTCACTGTGCACAGAAAACCTTCCCTGGCACTCTCCACTATCCCTCAGCAGACATGATAAAAACATTAGGAGTGAATGGATTGTCTATCAGCTCTGTATTTTAAGCTCTTCTCAGAGAAACTGAAGGGACCTTGTACATAAAATAGCTAAATTTCCAGACACTGGCCTGGATCTCCTGTTACCTTTTGTAATAATGTACTAATAGGAAGAAAGCATAAGGATAATATCAGAAATCAAATGAGGAAAATTTTGAAAAAGACAAATTATTTCTACTAAAAAGGACTGTATGAGTTGTGTGGAAAACATTACCACAGAACAGTAAAACAAAACAGCTACATCTACAGACTTACCCCCAGTGCTAGAAGGAAGATCTGCTCTCCACCTCCCACAATGCACCTGTGGTCCAGGATATGACGCAACTTATCAAGTGTGCTGGAGTTGAGAAGAGTGAGTTTACACTGGAACGACTCCACATCTGAATTCTGATATGCAACAGATGTAAAGAAAAACAGACACGGCTATCAGGATATATTAAACATTTTGCGCCACCTCATATCAGTGTTTACCATAGAATTCATTCATTAAATAGTTCTACCCCAGTCCAAATAATTCATTTTCTATTTATTGTTTCTTGGTTTAAAGTCTGAAAAGTTAAATGTGCAGATGGATTGAAAAGTCAACTTGAATAGTGCATGTGTGTGCAGCTGTATAGACTGTATAGCTCTGCACTTACATAGTCTCACACATGCAAACTTCCCACATGCACACAAACAATCCCTCTACTCCCAAAACTAAGATGAAAGACCACAACTCAATCCTCAACCTGTGGGCAATCCCATGTAGGATTTAACAAAGTGCACTTGGATGCTTACAATTTTTTACTTTCATTATTAAAAAACTGGTGATACAGGAGCACCCAAAGCTCAACAGTTACAGTTACAGTGCACTATCTATGCAGTTTGGTGTGTGCGTGTGACATCAGAGGATTGAATCTGGCTGCCAACCTATGTCTCAAGTCTCCCCTCTTTCCTCTCTGTGACCCATTTAACCCAATAAAAATGATACATAAAGGCTAAATGCCCACAAAACAAACTAACTTAATAATGTATTACTCCCAGTGTGATTTCTTTAACCCCAGATTTAACTGACCTTGATCAGTTCGTAGAACTTTGACTTTGGGTCTGAAGATGAAGGAGCAACTCTGGCTTTGTCTGGGACCTGGGAATAAATAAAACATGTTGAATTGGAATGACAGAATGAAACAGCAGTTTTCTACAAAACTGAGTTATTTGTGTTAGTTCTGTCAGTTTTAGCACAAATTTCAGTCTGAAAGGGCTCTAGAGACACGGACAGTGTGTCGCATAGTCAATTCCAGACATAAACACGATCCCACACATACTGGAATAAAGATAAATGGATGGGCACAAGAAAGAGTACTCACGGGTCTACGACATAAGCGCGGATCTTAGCCAAGGCCTTGATCTGAACTGCACAGAGGCTGCAGTAAGAGTTAAGTTCACATTTGTTAGTCATTCTATTTGAAGTGCACTAATTCAAGACTTTTTGAATATTAGTATACATTATCACTACCTCTCATTGGAGTTGACCATAAACTGGTAGAAGTCAGTATCTTCCTTGATGATTCTTAAAGGAACCACATCTGTAACATCTGAATCTGTATTCCTCAGCTGGTTGAGTTTCAGATTGATTTTGAACATGTATTCCCTGACAGCGTCTGAACCAGGCTTCAGACCACGGCACACTACATACCTGTGGATGGCAGTAAGATCAAAAATTGGATCCATAGCACAGAAACTGTCCAATTAACAGGCAATATACACTGTACAGTGCAGTGGCTTAAAACTGGACAAAATGATCAGTTTTATATATCTAAAACCGAATCTAAAGTTGAAAAAGACAGTTTCAACAATTACCGCATTATGGGACTGGTACCAAATACATGGCATTCAGAAAAATCTCCCAGCTAAGTTTGAATAAATCAGTACAACAGAGAAACACATTCACACACATACAAAGACACACAGTTGCAGCCACACCTCTCAGAGTTGGCAGGTCTGCTGGTGACAGGTTTGAAGAGAGAGATCCTGTCAAAGCAGAGGTAGAGCAGGTAGGCCAAACCCACACTGAATGGTGTGAAGAGGTCAAAAGTCTTACAGATAAAGTGGCCACCTGGAGAAGACAAGGAGTGACAGTATAATTTAGCCTGGATCCTGACAAAAATATACAGGGAGGGACTACAACACAAACATGATAAATGGGCACACACACACACCTGGCCTGAGTGTAGAAAGGGCTGTGAGGAACTGACAGAGCATCAGCTGTTTACTCAAAATCTCCTGGATATTTTCCTGGCCTTCCACAGAGAAACCCTACCAGAGTCAGAGAGAACTGTCAAACCAAAACCGATTCAATCGTTAAACAGAAAGCTGAAAATGAAACCACGTATAATATGATCTGACTTTTTACATGATGTGAAGAAGAACAGCAGCTTCTTCACAGAAAAAAATGAAAGTGAAAATGTCTTACTCCATCTGCCATGAGGAAGTGCAGTCCTTTTCTATCAGTATTCTCCAAAACAAAGTTTCGAAAGGCTGTCACGTTTTCTGGTCGAGTGATGTCACCATCTCCATCCACTCCTCCTTCACCTGGGACAACCAGAGATCAATCTTTGACTGAGTAATTTCTGACCTGAGACATCTCCTGGGTGTGATGTACAACTTTTGTTAACGTACCATAATAAGGCTCAAACAGCTCGCTTGGCGCTGCATAGAAATCTTCCAGTTTGAAGTCACAGGGTCCTTTCAGTGTCATGCCAAAGCCTTTGGCGTGCCAGCGCCTCCTCCACAGTATGTACTCTGAAAAGCCTCCAGGCCCTGCACAAACGTCACCAAAGTACAGAAGCTCGCCCTCACGATCCTTTGTCAGAGGTTTCTACATAATGAGAGTGGGACAAAGCATTAGTTGGTCTCACCATCTGTTTATATGGCCCTGTGTCCCCTGATCCAAAAAAGGGTTCCGAACACATCACAGCAGTTACTATAACCCACTCACCCCTTGTGAATCCTTTGGGTTGGTGAACATATGGTCAAAGCAGTGATCAATGTTAGCCATTTTCATAGCTGCTCTAAACACAGAGAACATATAATACAACTTGTATTTAGAGTGTTGGCACTTCAGAGTAACCATTAAGCCATATAAATATTAAAAGTAATCTGCTGCATTATGTATATTGTATAAATAATTGCACATGAACACACACAGACACCCACTCATGATTGACTTTTGCATCATTCAAAGGCAGCAATCAACTGGCAAAAGTGCTGCCTATCTGTAACTTTTTTCAATAAGTGCATGACTGATTTAGTTAAATAAACCCTGAAACAGAAAATGTTTTATATAATAGTAACTACCAAAGGACTGACCTGTTGAGGAAGATACCTCCCCTGATTGTCTCGTAAGGGTTGGAGCGTGTCCGTGCTCTTCTCATTTCCTCACCCTCTAGGTCATCAAATATTGTCTGAGCATCATACAGACACAGAGGTTACACAACACAGGGATATTAACGCATATGAGTTTTGCCCATCCAGCACAAAATGCCACTCATATTGAAACTTCCTTTGTTACTACCATTCACCATTACACAGTGTACAACAAAAAGATTCCAAAAAATGCCAACAGTTTATCAGCAAGGGGAAGTTGGGAAAATGCCTAAATGCAAAGGTGAACTCTATGCATAGCATACATTGTACTGTTGATGATACTTAATATAGATTATTTCCTGTTCATCTGTGAAATAAAAAGGCTCAAATTAAACAGAAGTGAACAGTGGATGTGTTGTATTATAACTTACCTTACACCTTAAAAGAGTGTGCAGGAGATCTTCAGTGCAAAACTCTGTCTCATCCTCAATCTTAAGTTTTCTCTGTAAACAGTTGAAAACAAGATGTAAAAGAAAATGTAAACATATCAAGCAAGAACAGTATGCAGCATATTATGTACTCATATTTAAGGATGTCAATGTTTTGTATTTACCTCTCCCAGTTTCATCCAGTCCCTCAGCTCATCTGCATCTGGGATCTCTGTGGTGCATTCTGGGAACCAGTCTACTTTCTCTACAGCACTGGGCTAGACAAACAGAAAAAGAGTCAGAAGAGATTCAACCAAAAATCATCATGTCAACAGGTAGAACTGATTCTCACATGGGATTGCAAACCTAAAATCATTTGACTATTTCCAAACACTTGAGAAAACATTACATGGTAATGCTATAACTGCTGCGTACCTCTGGTTCATCCTCCCAGTCAATATTGAGCTCCCCCTGAAAGCCCTGCAGTGTGAGGCCAAGACCCCTTCTGCCTCGCTGGGTAGAGGTCTCCACGATCTCTTTGCGTCCCTGACTAAACTTCCCAAGACCTTCACCCTCACGGAAACCCATCTTAGCCTGAAGGTGTAAGAGGTAACAGAGAAAACTCTGTAATTCTTCTGAATTCTTTGAAAAATACACAAATATTTCCAAAATCTATCAAATAAGATAATACATACTCTCTGAAATTCTGTAATATGGATTCGAAGACAAATAACTGAAACATTTAGGGTTAGTGAGGCTTTCGCTACATTACCATTAACTTCTGAGACACACTGTTGTACAAAGAGAAGTTGGAGGCCGTCTCTGTGGGAGCATCTGTGTCTTGGGCATTAAAGGATGATATGGAGGAGGTGGAGAATCCTGGTCTGTGATCCTCCTGGTCACTGAAGGAGTCATTTTGGCTAGAGTCTGAACAGGACAAAACCACCCACACATATACGTTACTCAACAAATGATGAAATTATCTGATATCTGCTTTATCTATGACGGCCACTTTCACAGCTGTTGTTGTCCCCAAACTTCCTGTGTATTCACAGTAAGAGCTCCCATTTCCTCCCAATACATTATGACATGTACACTGTTATGCAGACAGTTATTTGCCCAAGTGAATATATTGCAAAATGTATGGAGAGATAAGTATACATGTGTAAGAATGCACATTTGCATATAAACAGTAGGAGGTAAATAAACCAAAATAAGCAAGCAAACACATCTCAACAGAAATACGGATTAATACCTGATTTCACAGCTATGACCACAACTGTCATCACACCTATCAAATCACTATTCAGCATTTACACCAACAACAAATTATTAATTTTACTCAAGCTTGTCAAACATCATTAAAAGGAAGAATATTAATTTATTTACCTTGTCCGGATAATCGTGACCCTTCATCTGAGCTGCCGTCATCACGGCGCCTCTTTGACCCCTGCAGCTGTGCCGAGTTTGTATCAGCTCTTCTCTTCATTGTGGCTAAAACAATGCAGCGAACACAGCAAGGAGAAGAGACTCTCTGATGGATGAGGAGCAACAGCACAGACAGGATACAGAAGAAAACCAAGGCCCATGACAGGAATACCTTGACCCTCAGAGGTCAAGGTAATTTTAAATAAAGTAAAAGAGGGCACTGAACATCCAAATTTATCCAACATCCAAAGCAGAACATCCATCAAAGGTGGATTTTATCAACAAGTCTTCACGTACAGGTATAAGGTTATGTGAACAGCTCAACTGATTATCTAGCTTCAGTTATAGCCTTTTCACCTAACGTTATTAAGATTATAATGATGAATGGGACTCAGGAACCGTGGCTGGTCAACAACACTTATAAGATGTCTACCTTGCCAGAGCCTAATGAATATAACGTTACAATCTCAAAAACTTCCTCCAAATACGAAAGGTTACCTCTTCCTTATGTTGCAGTTAGCAGTAGTCAGCAATCAAAGTTTGGTAGAGTCGGCCCATTCCACTCTCCAAGATATATTTGGGTAAGAAATAGGTAATGAGACTTGACTGGGTAGTGTCAGTGAGTGTTTTCTTTGAGACGAATCTGCGCAGCTGTATCAGCTTTAGCTGTTAGCTTGCTAAATTAGCCAGCCAGTTTTACCAGCTCAGAAGGAAAACTCCTCTCTTCTGTGGCGAGGCAGCATTGATAGAGTCTTAAGTCCACATACGTTTCGAGGTTTCTCGGATACACTTTTATTTTTTATAGAATCTTTGGTTTTAAATACGCGCTCATTAAAGTTTACATTAGCCCTCGTCCTAATGTTACAGCGTTCAGGGTCCTTCTCTGTCAGTTGTCACATAGTAATGACGCACAACTGGTCGCATCGACTGTCTAGACAAGTGCCTCCTTTTTTTTTTGTTTTTTTTTTTTTTTTTTTTGCAGCAATGTCACACTGTCCTTTTCTTTTTTAACTTTAATTTGTATATTGCAGACGACTCATTTTAGAATTAATCCTTAATTAGATTTCTAGTTGTTAACCCTAGCTAATGATAGTCCCTATCTTGTTATCCTTGAAATAAAAAAAATGTTTGAAAGACCTGTACCATTGTTCATCCAGTTAATCTGGCTGTCCTGCCAAAAAACAAAATAATTTTAGTGACCGGATCTCACCTCTATCTGACTTCTTTTCCACAGGTTGGATTTCCTGCTTCAAATAAGTCATTTTAAACAGTATTACCACAGAACATTTATGCTAAAATCACATGTAATTTTCTGGTCTGGCAGTACGTCCTCAAACAAATTTGCTAAAAACAAACAAACAAAACTGTCATTTTAAGTATAAAGAAAAACGAGAAGTAGCCTACTTCTCTGACAGTGTGTAGTGCAGCTTGAAGTCTTGTTTTTTAATGGAATATTCCAGCCTAAGAATAACATTAGCTGAGACTAATTTACATAAAACTTTAATTACATTGTTTTTTGGGTGATTAAGTGAGTCGATTTTCCCTTAATCAGTCCTGCATGTTTGTTAGATTAGGATAATTTTTTCTTGGCATATTCATTAAGGCATCCTGTTAATCAGAACAACTATTTAAGCTGTTTTCAATGGTCCTTCACAGTGGTTTAAGAAATTAGGTCTCTACATTGAGAAAGAAAATCCATCAGCTCCAAACTGTCTGCACACTGAGTGAAAATCATTTTTTTTCCATAGGCTAAACATATACTCTACTTGGTATATTTTCAAAATTTGAACACTGAGCAAGGCACGTAGATATTCAATAAATGTTCTTCCTTTCATGATGTAGCTTAATGCAGCCTATCACTACAGAACATTGCATGCCTTCACTGATACGTCTATAAAATTCTTCTTAGAAGTGTCAATTCCCTGCTTTTGTGGCACTACAGATACCATTAGCGGAAGCTCTGTTTCCTGACAGTAATTGTCATTTTTGTAAGAGGGCAGGCTGGACTCTCCAGCCATTTCCAGGATCCTGGAGATGGCTGGAATTGCACATCCCAATATTTTTTTTAATTTGTAAGGATGTTACAAGGATGTTACAAATGTTTTATACATTAGCTATGACTCTGAGAATGAATATAATGTAGAAAAATATGAATTGAATACGGCTGAGACATTGTAAAAATCTGCTTCAGATAGAAGGAATGATTTTCCTTTTGTTGTACCTATAGATACCCATGCCAGAATTCAGTGTGACATTGCTGCAGAGCAATTTGTATTTTAATTGTACCTAACTGTTAAACTGCCCCTCAGTTACCCGTGCCAACATCATTGCTTTGTCATTCTTTGATGGGGTTACATGTTTCTTCCTTATATATATATATAATCCAGTGGCTCTACTGATCCCCCACTGACACAAACGCACATACACACCAAGACACACACCAAACACAGTCCAACCCCATGTGACCAGCTTACACAATGAAGCCTAAGCTTTATATACTACCTATGGGTACTGGTTTCCCTCTAGAGAGATAATAACAGTGCTGGTGTGTATCAGGGTATCTGAGTGTGGGAGTGAATGTCTGTGTCTTTGGAGACAGGGGTGGAGCTGCTGCTGCCACACACATTGGCACAAAGGCCAAAGGGATTCACCTTGGTAAAGTTGCCTAGCAGAATCCCTAAGGGCTGGCTGCAGAGGAGGCGTTTGTGGTCGCAGCTGTGAAGTGCTGGAGAGAACAACAGCAATGTTTTTTTTGCATCCTTTGACTGACCCCTGGATATATTAGATACCTCCATTGAGACATCTGCAGTGGCACAACAGTGGAGCAAATTCCATTAGAGGCTCTAATAACAAACAGCTGCTAAGATCTAGAGTCCAGGCACTGCACATTTCCCTGTGTTTCAGTAAAACATTGGTGTTGCATTGGATTATACCAAACAGAACCTAAGTGTGTAGACTTTAAACATAACAAACTCAAGAGTTATTTTAACCTTACCTTTAGCATGTATTAAATATATTGTGTGTTCATACTAATAATAATGTGGTTCACATTTAATGTCCTTGTTCTTGATTTATTATGATTTTGTTGTGCTTGAGATGAAGATTGTTGCCCTAAGGCTCTTCCAGTGGGCAAAGAGTAAACTACAGCTCTGCTTTGTGTGCGTGACAAAATACTGTATCAAAGGAGTGAGTTGGTGCCACTCTTAAAATGCACAGAGAAAATTACTTTATAGACAGAAACATAAATGTGTGACTTTTGGTGTGTGATCAATGCTGCTTTGCACTTTTTGTAACTTGTACATAATACTCTGATACTGAAGGAGATTAGTGGAACTTGACATGGAGTGCTGCCAGCTTGTGTAGTGAACTGAACTGGGTGACATCTCGTTGGACTGGCACACAATATGTTGTCAGGCAGATGGACCACCTGAACCAACATATGTTTCCTCCCAGCTCTCTCACACACACCACTGTTAGAGCGGATGAAAGCAGATGAATGACAACTAAGGTCTCTTCACACAGATGCTTTATAATAAGGAAAAAAACTCTGACAGCATATGAATGTATCACCAGCATGGAATGACAATTAGTAGATAAACTGTAATTGTAATGGTGTGTCATGATCTCCTGGTTCCAGCAAAGGGATGTTATGACAACAGTTTGATTTGATTGGATTTATTCTTTCAAGCATGTAAAGACAGTTGATACGACAACACACATAATTTTACACACAATCCAATATCAATTTGCTTATACCTAATACATGCTTGAATGGAGTAGGAAGAAGTCAGACTTATCCAGTCCTACCCCATGACATCATCTTACCATCATTGGTTTGCAAGCAGTAAATGATTCTCTTCTACACCACACAAGTAATATACTAAAAAATTATAACAGAGTGTTAACATTCGTACATAATTACATTCTTAAATAATTATCTTCTACACCACACAAGTAATATACTAAAGAATTATTACAAAGTGTTAACATTCATACACCACACCCACAATGTTCCATCTAATTAATCATTGAGCCTGTTCTTGCATATATCTTGATTGACACATACCTTTATATTTATGTTTAAACTCGTCAATTCTATTACTATTTTTTTATGTCCCCCCCACAAGGATGGATCCCAGACAGCCAAACCACCATCCCAGGGAGGGAGGCGAGGGCCACCGGATGGAGGGACTCACCAGGGCCCCCCAGGTTTGTCCGGGTGCGCCTGATAGAAACAGGTGAGAAGGGCAGGATCTAAAATAAAGGAGCGGGGAATCCAGGAACGCTCCTCCGGACCATAACCCTCCCAGTCCACCAGATATTGGAAACCCCGGCCCCTAGGGCAAACATCCAGGATCTGCCTGACGGTGTATGCAGGGCCACCGTCCACCTCCAGGGCAGGAGGAGGTGGAGCCGG